CTTGATTTTGGACTATTGAACATGTTAATTTGTTGGGTCTTTACTCCTGATGGTGATGTTATGGCATTTGACTTATATTTTTAAGCAATGCAGTGAAGCGAGGACTTATATTATGTTTTGGTTGTTTATATTATGGATGTGTTTTGGATGTATTTTCCTATAGAGTTGACATCATGTTTAGATGTTGTTTTGCCATCGTATTGCTGCTCATTATTTTGCTGCCCTCTTGTTGTATGGATTGAACACGAACTTAACATCCAACAATGTTATTCCGTTTCCGAACCGACTCCGCACCGAATCTGACGTCCAAAATAATCCGCTCCATATCCGCATCTGCATGTCATTCGCACCCCCTCCGCATCCGCTTTAAAAAAAATGGTATAGGATATGGTATGACCATTATCCATCCGAATCCGCTCCGTTTTCATCCCTAGGCCCACCAGTCAGCCTCACAGTCAAAAGAGTAGCTGGAAGGTGGGACCCATAGGTCGGCCAAACCGACCTTACTACTTCTCATTGCCACTCTACGTGGACACCCTAGATGACTCCTCAATGACGGTTATGGGTGCACCGACCTTCACAAACCGTCTTTCCAACCGTCATATGGCTCTATAAAAGGAGGAGCTCAAGCCATTTCAGAACACACAACTCAAGTGGAGTATGTTGGTATTTCTCAATGACATTACTAAAAATATGAATTCCGAACAATGGCACAGAATTAGCCCTAATATATTTATGGTTATAGAAGTATCCGCAAGCGCATGGATATACCATTGCAGCATTTCACCCGGAAGTATTCCAAGGTATTGTATTAATTTAATCTCAAGGGAAGATTTATAAAAGAGAGAACTCTACTAATAACTTATATACATTGCTTATATATATCAAAGTCTATGCAAGGGTTACTTTAATCATATGTGTAGAGTGACACAGAGGAAAGACTTACATGCTCTCACTTAAATAATTCTAGACTAATGTGGAAGAAGAAATAGAAAAGCAATCATTCCTATACTTCAAATATACACTCACCCTTAGTTTACATTTGCTAGTATACAGTTATACTGACCAATACCCCCTAACGGTGCCCTCCTAGTGCTTCAAGAGACCACCCTGGGTTGCCGAGTTTCGTACGACAACCTATCATGGCCATCTAACCGGGGCTAAATACGGAGTAGTACCCTCCCCAGGAATTTGTCTTGGGAATATATACTAATGTGTAGGAATACCTGTACTGAGCTGTCACCATCAGTGGCCCACATCTATTTTCCCGCAGCATATATGCCCAATTAATGATATTTAATAATTTAAGCATCATGCTTACATTATCAAATATTACTCTATATCCTCTAGAATAATATAGAGTAATCATTCATATGAACATTAAACCCACACCACTACACCTCTCTGGTAGGCTAGTCATACAACTATATCGGCACAAATATAAAGTAAAACCAGTACTCAGAGAAGTACCGGAGGTATATAAAGAAGAATATTCTATTAATTCCGAGAGTCTTACAAAAGAAGATAGAAAAGCTACTAGAGCCATACCAAAATCTTCCGAAGACTCGAGGACTCCGAGAACTATCCTATTCTATTCCACTAAGCACTAGAGCACTAACTAAACTTGAGAGAGAGAGAGATCAAAGCTTCTTGCTTGAGCGTGTATTGGAGTGTGAATGAGCTCCTCCTTACATAGGCATGTATGATGGTTGTAGAGTATGCAAAATGTCGGAAATGCCCCGCAACCTCCATCAGCAAGCAATTCGGGACGTCCACGTGTAAGGCCAGGCTAAACCGACGCTGCCAGGGTTCGGCAGAACCCCTGGTTCGACCAAACCTGGGCTGGCTCAGCAGGCCTCCAAACTTTGTACAGGGGCTGGCAGATGGGTCCTCATGACGGTTGTGACAGCTATGGTGGTTTCTAGGACGGTTTGGACCCCTCTATCCTTTAGCTTGCTTAGGAGTGAGTTTTTCCTTTATTTCTTCTCCATTTATGTGCTAATCTCTACAAAGAAATAATATTCCAAGTACAACTGGAAATATATTATTCTAAAATAAATATGCATTGCAAGCATAGCTAGTTCTCCTTTATTTTAAGTATATTGTTGGTCGAAATTGGTCTATAACGACCGTCAACAGAGTACAACTCACTTTCATATTTAGGGTACCCTCTATTAGAGATAGAATATAGGAAGAGAGTGAGGGGAAGCCCCAAAAGGACAAAGGAGTGCCCTAGATATCGGAGTTCTCTTCGGGGGAGTTTCGGAGGAGTGCCGGATGTAGGCACCCTCTCCATTTGAGTCCTAGAGTTGTCGGCACAATCTCCAATCTTGTACCTTGATGGATGCTTCTCTTATATAAATAAGAATTCGTGATCTCCTTTGGTATTTATTTTTAAATTCAAGTAAGATAGATTTTCACAATTGTGGGGTTTTTGCTTAGTATTTATATTGGGTTCTCTAGTACTAAAATTCTGGATAAAGAAGAAAATTATTGACTAAGGCTAGAGTAGTAATCGATAACGTAGACGTGGTGTTTAGGTTAAAGGTTATCTTCGTTTGTTGTGTGCTTCACAAAAAGTGAGGTAGGCGGCAGGTGATAATAGCACTATCCGTTCTTCATATTCCTCCACATTCAGGTACATCATAGAACTACAAGCTGGAGTCGGCTTGGCAAACCAAGGGAGAGCCGGTGCCTGAAGAAACTGATAGAGTTGTACAATAACTTAATTAAGATAGTTAACCCAGCAAAGTCCTCTCTATCCTAAGCCCTCCCATTTAATTGTTTTCCTTGGATGAATCCTAAACTTAGATTATACAAACACGTTCCCTGTGATTTGATACCCTTGGAATACTCTAAGGTGAAGTCCTACATCAGCATCCATGCGCTTGCGGATTTATCTGTGACCGTAACATATACTAACACCCACACCCGTTCAAATTCTAGATTGACATGGGTGCTCACATTTACGGGTAGTTATTATTTTAGTGGTAGGCAATGTACCCGTTTCCAGCGAGGCGCCCGTGGTGACTTCGTCAATCTCAAGATATGCTGCCATCACTACTACAAAAAGCATTTTCGCCGACGTTGGGTATTTATTTTCGCAGGCGGATATGACACTCGGAGCCAAATAGCCACCTACAAAAATGCAAACCGGGGTGAAGCTCGCTATCTTTGCAGGCGGACCTCTTATGTGATTCGCCTGCGAAAATAGACTTGCAATATAAATAGAGCCGATTTGGGGCTGATTTTTTCTAAGTCCTCATTCTCGACCCCTCACTCCTTTCCTGCGTCCCTCCCCTTCCCCCTCCCCTCCACACCTCTCCTCTCCTCCTCTCCCCGGCCGCCGGCCGGAGGCGGCGGTGAGCAGCAATGGCTCCCTTTCCCCCTCCTAGATCCGGCTGAAGGGAGGCCGGGAGAGGGCAGCGGCGGCGAGGCGCGGGGACGGCCACGGAGTGGGGCGGCAACGACGACGCACGGGGCGGCGGCAGCGGCACCCGGCGTGGCTCCCCTCCCCTCCCAGATCCGGCCGGAGGGAGGCCGGGGGAGGGCGGCGGTGGTTCTCCTCCCTCCTAGATCCGTCCGGAAGGAGGGAGAGGGCGGCGGCGGCGGCATCCCCCACCACCAGCGTCGGTGGCGGCCCTGCAGCAGCCGACTACTCCCTCCACACCAACGCCTCGGCTGCCGACGTCGCCGACAACCTCTGGGACGCGTTCCTTAGCAGCGGCCATGCCGGCGTGCCCCGCCCTTTCGGCGACACGGTGGTGGACGGCATTGAACTCTTCATCAACCTCACCTCCCCTTCCTCTCCCTCTCTCTCTCCCTCCCAAAACCCTAACCCTAGATCGACTGGAGGTGGGTAGGAGCATGGGGGGTGGCGGCGATTTTTTTCTGTTCGTCCAGAGGATTTTCGCAAGCGGGTGACTAGACCGCCTATGAGGCGTTTGTATACAGGCGGACCGTTCCCCCGCTTGGAAAAATGATTTTTGCATGCCGAAAAAAATGATTTTTCTAGTAGTGCATAAAGGTGTATAGGGTGACAATGATTGACGGGACTACTAGAAACTAAAAAGGAACCCGTAACGATGATCATGTTTGTTGTTTGAAATTCCAATGCCAATAAAGAGAAGGGGCACAGTGTGTGCCGTAAGGAAGTAGGTTAGCATTTAACGGCACTTCTAAAACTACAAAAGGGAAAGATTTAATTTTTAGAGGTCACAGGGATGATGAATAAAAGTCACATTGAGCCGGAAAGAAGAGGAGGCAAGCTATAAAGGGTTAAGTTATGGCACACTTGACTTGTACAAACTATAAAATTTAAAATTTGGTTCGATTTTTTTTAAATCCTAAGACAATTAATCGACTATTTAACAAATTTGAAAGAAAATAATTATGAAGGAAATCATGCGTAAAAAAAAGATAATTTTGTATGATAGCCCGTCGCGGGCCACCTACTATTCATCATTGTATAAGGGCAAGTGTTATGGTAGATGTGACTATCACATCTACCACATCATTCACTCATAAATTAAGAGGCAACCTATACAATATGTCTCCTCTACTACACAAATACCAATGTCTCTTATACTCCCACACCCCTCTTGAAATTTGTGTGGAGGTTGCCTCTTCATTTAGGGGTGGTTCACCATCTCTCTCCTCACTTCTCTCCTCCACCTCATCACTCAATCCAATATGGCATATTTAGGGGCAACATATGGAGCATTATAGTACTTACCCTAAGGTAGCTATTGTATTGACACGTAATTGAGTACCCGATGACTATTATTGTTTTGGGTACATTTATTCATTAACATTAAATAAAAAAAGTTGAAAGTTGATAAAATTCGCAGAGGACGACCTTGATTGGTTCCTTGTACTCCTGTTGATTGGGAGGCCCCACCCTGCACCACTGCTTCTGTACGAGTGGACACCGCAAGGGCCCCACCTTAGCTAATCAGAGAGGCGAACAGTGTTTCCTTTTTTGGTCGTACGCACAGTAACTCTTCACACAGCGGCTGTATAGCTGCTGCCACTCAACTGTGCAGGACTCCTAGCTCCCTGCTACATATACCGGCCGGTCGGACCCCCTCATCTTGCCGGCCTCATCATCGTCACCGATCGATCCCGGCCATTCCACGGTCGATCGATCGTCTCCGGCCGGCCGGTCGCCGGTGGGAATTGAAGCAGCTAGCTGACATACATACATGGCGGGCGTGTGGGTGTTCAAGGACGGCATCGTGCGGCGCGTGGAGAACCCCGGCAGCGAGGAATCGTCGTCGGCGGGGGACGGCGGCGGAGGCGGGCGGCGGAAGGTGCTGGTGCACGTGCCGAGCGGGGAGGTGGTGGCGTCATACGAGGTGCTGGAGCGGCGGCTGCGGGAGCTCGGGTGGGAGAGGTACCTCACCGACCCGTGCCTCCTGCAGTTCCACCAGCGCTCCACCGTGCACCTCATCTCTGTCCCCCGCGACTTCTCCAAGTTCAAGCTCGTCCACATGTACGACATCGTCGTCAAGACCCGCAACGTCTTCGAGGTCCGCGACGCCGCTGCCCCCGCCGTCTCACCGGCGACCTAGCTGCTGATCCGAGATCCATCCATCCATCGATCAGACGACAGCTTATAGCTACAGCAGTCCACATGAGCTTGCCTGCCTGCTATTATAAGAGTGTAAGTATGTATATATATACTGGTATGCGTGTGATCGATCAAGGATCGATGTACACACAAATGATCAGCATGCACAGATCACTAGATCGAGATCTATAGCTCGATCGATTTGGGGTTTCTCCTGCCGGCGTTGCAGCTTTTGGATTAGATGTTGCGCCGGTGAGGACATTGCTATAGGTTAATTGGCTTTTGGGTATATTTCTGCATAAATAATGCATCAATAGAGAGCACAACATGTGTATGCATACTTATATTTATATGTACACATGCATACATATATAAGTACATACATAGGGGCCGGGGGCAACATGCAGGTTGCAGAGATTCTGCCAGAGATCAAGCAGAAAGGGGATCGCCGATGCCCTACTCTCAACCGTACCTTTTTACTGTTTAATTTGGAATAATTTGGATTGTCTCAATACAAATTATGTACCAGTTTTTTCACATATGATTTGCACGACATTTTAAATATTGTAATCTGTACACATAATATTGATCGGTCTCTCTTTCCCTGTGGCCAATATTATGTGCAGCTTAATTATACAATTACAAGCACCATCCCCCTATGTGTGGTTTAATTATTAGTCCTATCAGAAGAAGAGTCTCTGATTCTTTTCATAGGTAGGGTCAAATTAAACTTAAATTTTTGTGAGATAATATATATATATATATATATATATATATATATATATATATAACCAATTTTCAGAAAGAACTCAAACAGATCTCTATAACACATATTTTTTAACTGAAATATTTAACACATATTTGTAATAGTTTGAGAAGACATCCACAGTTTTCATAGCTAGTAATTAGTACGGAGTATATGACAAGTTACAAATTGATCCTTATGCATGCAATTAATATTCTGTTAAATGTTGGTTTAAAATAAGCCATAAACCATTAGCTTGTCGTGTTAATCCCTAACTGTTCGTTTTCTTAAATTGTTGGAGATTAAATTGTAATTGTTCTAAATCAAGAACCAGCAACATTAAGAGATTACCTTTTAAATTCGAACGCCTCCTCAGATTAATAATTAAATATTTCAAAAATAAAGTTCAACGGTTTCTAAATCGAGAACTATTACATATGCTCAAATCTCGAATGGCCCTTGACTGCATATACCGTATATATAGTTTGTGGTCATGACCCATTAGGTCAAGAACCAATAGATTAGTATACACTCAAATATCTGACTGAATGTTTTTAACAATTCCTTTAACCATTAGAGATCACTGCAGTTGCGAACCATTGGATATTATTAGGCTTTGTGTAGCAGTGGAAGCGGAATTATTTTAGCAACATAAATCATTTTATTAAGTAAATTCTTTTGTTCAAAACCTAAGAAACTACAAATCCAATCGTGTGCTAACAAAAATCGCAAGTCGACTATATGGCATGTATATATATGTGTCTTGTGTTATGTGTCTTGTGTTATGCCAAAGCTTCTACTTAATTCGAGGTATGTATGTCTCAAAATCCCAATGGAATATCAACAGATGTTTTCTAGCCCACAATAAAGCCACAACTGACAATTTTATCTGCATGTCAAGTTGGCAACAACGATACGTATGTGTGTTCTGTCCTGCGTTTAAAGTAGGGATGACTGCATGTGACTTTGTTAATTATTTGGCAGTAGTGCAGAAGTTATCTGGGGACCAAAAGCTCAAACATTTTGATATATGTCAGGGGAATTTTAATCTAGATATGTTTTTTTAAATAAATATATCAGGGCCATCCCGTCAAATTCGGGGGCCCTGTGCAAAGTTGAAGGATAAAAAATTAATTGATGATATAATATGAAAATAATTTATATTACGTAATATATTTCATAGCAATCTAGAATGGCCTAAAATGATAATCCAAAATTAGGGATTACCGGATTAGAAATTATCAGAAAGAATTAGGTCAGGGGCACGGCAAGCGTCAGGCGGCATGACCGCACGAGAGAAAGAGGTGAGGCGTCGTTTACTCCTCTCGTTCGTTGCGATTGGCGATTGGCGAGGTCCACAGTAGGAGGCGATTCAACATTGCGAACTAGCGCAACTGTGCGAACCGGCAAAGGCGTAATCGAAGCCGAAACGACAAGAAAAATAATAGATTTTTGGGACTAGTTAGGCTATCAATTTACTTATTGAGTTGTATATCTAGTGTTCAAGTTTTGGGCCTAGGAGCCCCTAAAAATTGGGGGCACTATGCGGGCGCGCTAGCTGCATGCCCCTAGGGACGCCCCTGATAAATATGGTGACTTTTTAGTACAGTTTATAAAACATCATGAGCAATATATATAATTCCCTGTTATGGAACTTCTTGCGATAACATGCATATCAGCACATATATAGTACGTGAGAATGAAGAACCAACAAAAAGAAAAAACTAATTTCCCTTTCTTTTGAATGTTTTTCGTAATAGATGGGAAATCCATAAGTCACACATATGGACTGACATTAATTTCTTTTTTTTCTTTTCGTATGTAGTTAACTCTATCTCTTATCAGCAGAAAAGATGGGGAAGAACTGGCCATGTATAGCTCTTATCCATTATCGCATGGACTTTCTCTTTACAGCAAATATAGTGCATGGACTGATGATTCGTTGAGTTCCAAACTCTAGCTCTCTTCCATTTAGTTATTTGCTAGTGTCTCTTGTAGAAAATATTCACTGTCCAGGCAAAACACAACAAAATATCAGGCCCATCTGTGGCCTTGTGGGGCTCATCACTTATGCTGCATGCATAGGAGTATGAAACAGAGCCCAGAGCTAGCTAGCTAGGGACACCGCCTGGGGTTCCGTGCTTAATTTACTGCTGTGGACGGTAGCTTTTACTAACTATACTGGCTGAAATTTCCTGTTAAGATTCTGAACTGAAGTTAGGATCAGTTCAAACTGGAAAAGAAAAATCTGACATAAGGAATCTGGACTATTGAAACACCAATCTCAATAATTGTTGAGCTATTGTAGAGTGTGGACCAGCGCTCTGCCAATGGCATACAACGTTCATCAGCTATATTTCATGTAAATATTTTGGAGAAAAATTCTGTGGACAAGATTCACATTCTCCCAAACAATTCGTGGCCTCCATGCACAGTGCTCGGTGCACACATGTACAGATTTGAAGTGCTTTATAATTACAGGTCCATTGTCCCATTAAGCCTTATATGTTTCTAAATCAACGATTCCAAATATAAAACTTTAACCAATACTTTAGTTTCCATCACTTTAATTCCTTTTTATATACCTTTTCTGGTGAACATCATGTTTCCTTTATAATGTAATTTGAACCCAGATCTCGCCCTACTGTTTTGGTTGAAAAAATATATGCCAATTAAGAATAGTGAAAATGAATCAAATAAAATCTAAAATGATCTTAAAAAACCCTGCAGTTACTTAGATAATCCCTCCGTCCCAAAATATAAAAGCCTAGGACAAGATAGGATATTTTCTAGTACACAGAAGGAAGATGGATGTGGACACAGAAGAACTTTTCGTCTTCTCGAGCACCATGCTCGATGTTGGCTCAACTCCATTCTTAAATTATCGTGTTTATTAAAAACAACACTTAATCCCACTTACTAGTGTCGGTTTATTAAAAAAATGATATTTTGATTACTTAATACCAATTTTCCGAATAAACCAAAACCTATAAGGTGTTATAGGTGCCGGTTTTTAATTTGGAAAAAATCTGAATTACCCTCTTGAACTATTGGGTCAGTAAAAATTAACCCCCTAGACCCGAAATCTAGACATCTTTCACCCTCAACTATATATACCGAATGAACTACCCCCTAACTCAATTCGAAGCGATTTTGATCTGCGTGGCATACATGTGGCGCTAACGTGGCAATCCAATTAAAAAACAATAAAAAAAACATGGTCCCCCTTGTCATATACCTCACTCCTCTATCTCTCTCTCTCTACTCTCTCATGCTTTGTCGGTTGTTGCGTTGGGGGATGAGGCGGGCAGTGTTGAGGTGCCAAGCATGACGGTGGCCGGCGTGGCAGGGAGGACGTCATTGGCAGCGAACACAAGTGATGAGCTTCCCACGGAGAGCTCGCCTCGCCCCCGCTGTCAACATCCATCGATCGATCGCATCTCCTATGGAGGCGGTGCTGAACAGCAGAGGGGCGGAGGAGCTCGAGAGGGGGAAGCGGTTTCTCTTTGTCCTCTGCCAGCGTGCGCCTCCTCCTCAGCCTTCTGCGGAGGCGACAAAAAGCATGGAGATAGGACACCGGTAGGCGGCGAGCAGCGACCCTTGTCATCGATCTAGTGGACCCTTGTCTTCGTAGGTCACCGGAGCTTTGCCCGAGCCGAATGCAAAGAGAGAGGTGAGAGGGGAAAAGATGGAGGGAAGAGAGTATGAAGTGGGATCCCGTTGATTTTTTCTAAAAAAAAACTAATTGCTGACTGGACTACTATGTAGGATCAAAACCACTCTAGATTGAGTTAGGAGGGTTTTTCGTCTGGTATTAATAGTTGAGGGTGAAAGATGTCCGGTATTCAGATTTAGGGGGTAATTAGTACACACCCAATAGTCAGGGGATAATTCAGACTTTTTCTTTTTAATTTTAGACCCATCGAAGGGATCATGAGGACAAAAAAGGCTTAATATGTATTGGTTTTAGATGAATCGATACATATGAGGTTGTTCCTATTAAGGGTTATGTAGTTGTGATAAGAGATATGTGTATTATGGGAATCGGGAGTCAAATTCTGAAGAAGGGATTAATTGGAAGATGTGAAACCAAATAGAAATAGTTGTATGGGGCTTCCATAGAGCATATCCGAGAGATGGCTAATAGCAATCCCAAAACTTAAATTTTAGGAATTAAGATAAAAACCATCCAAGAGGTTTCCAAGTGATAAAAACCACCCAATTTTAATTTGCTGCATTCCTAATCCCGGTGTCAAATCAATTCAGATTTTGGGCACCGTTTCGTGCTCCCAATCGAGCTGGCGTGGGAGAAAATTGGCCATCGGGCCACCTCATGGATCCCCTGTCATCTCCTCGCTCGCTCCGAATGCCACTGCATGACCGCCATGGCCAGGCTAGCTGTTCACTTGGTCCGTCTGCCAGCCGCCTAGGCCTCCTCTACTTCCTCCTCTAGCGCTACCACTCGAGGCCACCGCCCTGGCCACTACATCGGAGCTTGCCATAAAACAACCTTACGTAAATGATAAGCTTCAGGATGTATGCGTCACAAGTTGCATAATACCTCCCTTCATTTCAGGATATAAGACGTTTTAACTTTGGTCAAAGTCAAACAGTTTTAAATTTGACTAAGTTTATAGACAAATATAGTAATATTTATAATACTAAATTAGTTTTATCAAATCAATAATTAAATATATTTTCATAATAAATTTGTCTTGGGTTGAAAATATTATTCCTTTTTTTCTATAAACTTAGTCAAACTTAAAACAGTTTGACTTTGACTAAAGTCAAAACGTCTTATAACCTGAAACGGATAATAAAGAATGATGTATGGCAAAAGATTATCGATGATGGTTTACATCGAAGCATAAGCTCGATGCGAGTGAGTGATCGTCCCTTATACCATGGACAACTGACCTGTTGCTTAAAATCGCATATAACTTCATAGGACAACAAGCTTGTATATACCGCCCAGGCTCCCACAAGAGCGTGGGGACGACGAGCCTCTTTTCTCTTTTTTTCTCTCGGGAACCTATTCATGTGCAATTGGGATAATCTGGGTCCACCGCATCCAATGCATAGTACGAGATAGCCCAAAAGCATTCAATCACAGCAAAAGGAGTGCTGGTATTGACCAAATTAATTCTTGAGTTCAAATATATGTAACAATTCTTAATCTGAGTGAATCTATACCCAAATGAGAAGCGTTGTGTATAAGAGCAAATATCTTTGAAGAACCCACTAATGGAGGGGAACAAAAACTACTTAACAAAACAATTTTGGCGAATTCACCCTTTATTTTATTATTGGCAAACTAAAAGAGTATCCACATATAAAAATATTTAGATGCTGGTTGATTAAGCGATGCATGGAAAAATTGATTTTCATAAGCCTCTTAAGATACCCACATATAGAAACAACATTCGAGACTTCCTCATTTTCCCTTTTCCTTTTAACCGGCCCATCCCGACTCCCTTCTCCTGTATTTCTCTCTCATCTCTCACTTAGATCCCCCCCACCCCCTTGTCTACTTCTCCCTCTTTGCCTCATCTACTTCTTCTCCCCCTCTAGATCTACGAAGGAAGCCAGCGCGCGGGGTGGCTTGTGGAGGTGGCGATGAGGATATCGGGCGAGATGGAAGAAGCTCGAGGGTGGTGGATCCAGCAGCGCCGCCCTCGAGAGGGTTGGATCCGACACCCTTGGCCCCTGAATGGGTGACGGCGGAGCTCGAGGGCGGCGGGTCCGGTAGTGCCGCCCTCCGGAGGGGCGGATCTGCCATCCTTAGCCCCGGGCAGCAACAGCAGACCTCGAGGGCAGTGGATCCGGCAGTGCCGCCCTCGGCATCGAGAGAGGCGATGGCGACGACAGAGATCGAGGGCAGCAGATCCGGGGGCACTGTCCTTGGTCCCCGGAGGGGCGTTGGCGATGGTGGTGTTCGAGGGCAGCATATCCAGCAGCGCCACCCTCAGCCGTAGGAGGGGTGACGACAGCTGGGGTGGGAATGAGAGCTAGGGTTTTGGGATTTTGTTTTTTTATTTTTATTTTGTTTAAAGTGATTCTTTATTTTCGTATGCGATTGGCTTAACTGACTGTCCGCCAAAATCATTTTTCGCATGCCGGTGCACTTCCTGCATGAAAAAATCGATTTTTGCAGACACTTAAGGGCAAACGCCTATCTGCGAAAATATGTTTTGACCGTATGAAAAAAGCTTTTATGTAGCAGTGAAAACAACTTGAGATGTGAGGCTGAATGGTTTTTTTTCCTTCAATGGTTAAACAATTATTCGGGTACAAACTAATAAATTAAATATTACTATAAGCTAACAAATAGATTCAAAATAATTTATTAGAAAATCATGTATAAGAAAGTTTTATTTAAGAAAAAAATCGTAAAGTTTAAGGAGGTTGGGAAGCGTGCGATCTCCAATCAAATCATTTCACTAAGAAGAAAGCAGAATTAAAAACACACACACAGGAGTACAAGATGTGTTGGCTAGCTAGAAATAGTTGGGCACTGCTTTCTGTATCCGTACTCCTAGTCCTAGGCCGCCAATATTTTCCCACCCAGCGCCCACGGGCCACACACAGCAGCACAACAGGAATTCCCATGGCGCACACCGTACGAGCCTTCAACCTCCTGCGACCCAGTCAACCAGACGCATCCGTTTGTCCCCAGACGGCGAAAAGCAAACACGTACGCGTCACCACCAGATCGAAAAGCTGAAAGCTCCCGCACCCCGCAACGGCGCGTCGGTCGGAGATCGACGCGCGCGCGCGGCGCGAGTCGGCAGATTGCCACTTGGCCGGCCGGCTGGCTTGAACGTGCCCGTACGTCGCGGTCCATCATTCGCTCGCCCGGCCGATTGACTTCCGGGCAACGTACGTATGTATGTAGGGCAGCACGTGGCCGGCGCAGGCTTCTGGCGGGCCGTCGCCACGTGAAGCGCACACTGGGCTTCGGGCCAGCGCCGCAAGCCGCGCGCGCGCGACCACGTGCGCCCGGGGTCCCGGGGTCCCGGTGAGGTCGACCGCGAGCGTGCACAGGACGCTGCAGCAAAGCGTTGTGTGTGTGTGTGTGTGTGTGTGTGTGTGTGGTGGACGCGCGCCGCGCGCGGGGATCAGAATCGTCAACCGGGATAGCGGCCGGCGGCGGCGCGTGCAAAAGCAAAGACGTCACGTACGTACGTACTTATCCGGCGGAGCTTGAGCTAGACGCGCAGGCGATTCGTGGCCGCTACGCCTCTGCAGATATCGATCCTGCGAATCTGCGGTAGATCCTTTTGATCTGTGGACGAATTTCACCGCTGCGCATGTAGCCGTCACACGTTTTTACTTCATTCGTTGCAATTTAAATTTAATTTTTTGAGGATTATTTACAAATGTTACACCGGTACAGCTGCGTCTCGTGGTGCCCGCCCTTGCGCGCACCAACCGTGTGCTCTGCGGGCCGCCTTGAGCCACCGTGCCTGTATGGGCTCCTGGAAGGAATAAGTTTAACAGTAGTCCGTCAACTTTACATCGAGTTTGTTTGACATCCCTAAACCCAATACCATAAATCTTCAGTCCTAAATTATACAAAACCGTGCAATTTAGATTTCATGACGGTATCGATATCTGGTTTCGCTGACGTGTCATCCTAGTCAACAAAATAAAATATTTAAAAATGAGGAGCTCACGTGTCAGCCTTTCTTTCTTCTCTTTTCTTCCACGGCACGCAGACCAAGCGCAACGAGGAGGAGGTCAATGATGTCGTCCTCGGCATCGGGGAAGCGGGCTAGGGAGGCCAGTGGCGGCAGGCAAGCGCGGAAACAGCAATAGCTCGCCGTTAGCAGCACCAGCCGGCCACCGCTACCGTCCCCCATCTCCCGCCGCCCGCCTCTCCCTCTCCCACCCTCTCCACATGCCGCACCGGCGGGAAATGGGGGGAGAAGCGGGAGGCAGTGGGTAGAGCGACGGCGGAGGAGGAGGGGGAGCGCTATTTCCGGCCAGCGAGCTGGGTTGGTGTTGCCGAAGTTGGGTCGCGATGAGGCGCCAATAGCATTAGCCGGACGCCGGCCGCCACTCCTCCTTCCTCCACCCCCCTTCTCTTGCCAGCGTGACGCGTGGAGAGGGTCTCTCCCACCAGAGAGGCAGCCCCCTCTCTTCCATCTCTCGCTGGCGGGGCAGACCCCCTCTCGCCCCCTTTCCCTCTTAGGCGCCGGCACGGCACCACCACCATCATCGTCCTCGCCGGATCCCTCCACCGCCGCGCCTAGTCCCTCCTCTGCGCTGGCACCCACCCCACCACGGCCGCCGACGCCCTCCACCTGCAAAAATGAACCATCATCACCAACAGAAGCAGGAGTCATCTACCAATGTCGCTGGCGGCGTGCACGCGAAGAGCCTTTTGTTGTTGCTTCGTGCTAGGTTTCGTCTGCTTGCCGACCTGACGAGTGGCGCCATCACCACGAAGAGCCTGCGGCGAAGCGCGGCGAGTGTGCTGGGGTTGGGGGGCGGCGCTGTCGGTGGCGAGATTACGGTGGAGGAGACGACAGCCATGGTGCAAGAAGGCGACCAGGACAGCGACAACGCGTTGAGCAAGGTGGAGTTCTACGTGCTGATGGTGCGGCTCAGCCCTGGTATCATGGGCGACACTGAGGGCTGGCACGACGAGGCCATCGCCAACAAGCTCCTCCACTCGACGCTGCCAGTCTAGATCGTCCCACGGGAAAGGGGGAATACGATGCCGATTGGCCCCGCTGCCCCCCACCTCTAAGATGATGGGGCTGACAGGTGGGCCCCACATTTTTTTCTTCTCACACTTACATGTGGGACCCATATATTATTTTTATTTTTTATTTTCTGACTAGAATGCCACGTCAGCGAAACCAAACATCTATAGTGCCATGGGACCTAAATTGTACGTTTTATATAGTTTAGGGGTGAAAATTTCTGATATTGAGGATAAGGAATGTCAAACAAACTCGGTGTAAAGTTGAGGGATGGCAGGTGAACTTATTCCCTCCTCCAACACCGGTAGAGCCACAAGTTGGGCCATGCGGACTGCTAGCTAGTTTGTGGCCCACGTGGGCATGACTTACTGTGCCACCTCTGTATTGAGGGTTCCTATTTGGAAAAAGTACACCCAAGGTCCCTCGACTTGTCATCGGGATATAAAAACGTCCTCGAACCGTAAAACCAGATATACGAGGTTCCTTAACTATACAAAACCGGTCACCCGAGGTCCCAGGCCAGTATTGATGATGGATTTGTCCTATGTGGTGGCTGAGTCAGCGTGGGACCCACAAGGGCCCCACGTGTCAGCCTGTCCAGGTCATCCTACTCTCTCTTTCCCCTCTTCTATCCCTTCCTCCTCTCTCACTCTTCTCTCTCTGGCTCTGGGCAAGACGGGTAGGGAGGAGAGCAAAGCGGTGGCAAGGAGGAGAGCAAGGCGGCGACGCGGCGATGATGCGGGAGCAGGGGAGGGGCGTCGGTGGCGGCGAGAGGAGCTTGGCGGCCGCGGTGGGAGCAAGGCGACGGGGAGGAGAGCAAGGAGCGGTGGTGAGGGGAGCAAGGCGGCGACGCGGCAACGACGCGGGAGTAGGGGAGGGGCGGTGGAGTCGGCGGCAGCGAGAGGAGCTTGGCGGCCACGGGGGAGCAAGCGACGGGGAGGGGAGCAAGGCGGTGGCGGGAGGGAGGGGAGGGGGAGGGAGCAAGATGGAGGGGAGGAGAGCAATACGGCAATGCGGTAGCCGCACCAAGTCCGCCGCCCTTCTCCCCGATGGTTGCCAGCGGGAAAGGAGGGAGCAGCGCGCGGCGGCGTCGGCGGGAGAGGAGGGAGCGGCGCCACCACTTTCACTAGCGCCCACAGCGACAGCTTGCCAGCGTCGCTTGCCATGGCGATGACGACAACCGTGGATGCGGCGGTGCCGGTGCTGGCCTCGACGTCCTTGCTGCCCGGCGTCGCTGCCATGGCTTCAGCCAAGGACGGTGTGGCCAGCGAGGTCGAGGCGGGGCGCCGTCCGTCTGCCAGCCCTGCACCCCCACATCCGCTCCCCAATACGACATCCACTCCATGCCTCGCAAGACGGCTCGACGGTGGCGGCAGCCTAGGAGGACGGGAGCGGTGGCGCACCAAGTCGCTGCCGTGGGAGAAGAGGAGGGCGTCAGCAGCGAGAGTGTTGGGGGGGAGAGCGAGGACGATTGGGACGCGCCACCGCACGTGGTCGCACGAGGTCATACACGCGCGGGAGCAGGCGCGCGACGGTGATGCCGACGTAGAAGCTCCCCGCAGGGGCTTGCAGTTGACGCGCCACGCGGCGTTGCCGATCACCTGCGGGAGGAGTAACATGTCCTGCATCAGCCCGATGTGTTGCTCGACGGTGGCGTCGCAGCTGCTGTTCAGCGTGAGGACGACCACGAACAGGGCCAGGTGCGCGCTGGAGCAGTAGACGAACACCTTGTCGTTGCTCGGCACGTGCGCCGCCTCGCCCGGTGAGCGGGCCAGCAGCAGGCGCACCCTCAAGCGCCGCACCTTCCACACGATGCATAGGGTGAGGAAGAACGCAGCGACGGCGAGGATCTTCGCCGTCCGGTCGACGGCCTGGTACGGCCGGTTGTAGCCGCCGCTGCAGGAGAAGATGTTGAGGATTTCTTGGATGAATCCGTTGCATAGAGGCATAGAGCAGTTTCCCCTCCCCCACGCAGAAGGAGGATGGGACGCGTCCGACGGCCACTGCGCGCCTCTTCCCACCGGCCGGCGGCCGCCACCCCCTGCCCGTCTTCAGCCGCGCCGTCCTCTTCTCCTCCATCCCAGACTCCTCCCCCGCCACCACACTCGCCGGCGCCGGCTCCGGATTCACGAGCTCCGGACACCCTCATGCTCCCGCCGCCGCGTCGCCGGCCGCCCTGGAGGAGAGAAGTGAGAGAGAAGGGAGAGGAGGGGAAGAGAGGAGAGGCTGACGTGGCCACGCTTACATGTGGGGCCCACGTGGGTCCCACGCTGACTCAGCCGCCACATAGATCAAAACCGGGGTCAAAACCACCAAAGGACCTTGGGTGACCGGTTTTGTATAGTTAAGGAACTCCGTATATCTGGTTTTGTGGTTCGAGGATGTTTTTTATCCCGATGACAAGTTGAGGGACCTTCGATGTACTTTTTCCTTCCTATTTAGCGCTAGTAAGCGAAATAGTGCACACCTTATCTAATCTACTATTTTTTCTCTCATTGAAAAACTTTAAAGTCGAGATTTAAAAAAACTTTCACGTTAATATTTGAAACTTTCAACTCATATTTGAAATTTTTCAAGTGAATATTTTAAACTTTCAACTCAAGATTTGAAATTTCAACTCATATTTGAAATTTTTTAACTCAGATTTGAAAACATTCAACTCAAATTTGAAAAAAATCAAGTCAAGATTTGAAAACTTTCACCTCAAAATTCAAAATATTCAATTTATATTTGAAAACTTTTTTCATCTCAAAATTTAAAATATTCAACTTAAATTTTAAAAACTTTCAACTCAAATTGGAGGTGAATAATTAAATTTATAAAATATCATGAAAAGAAAAATCACTCGTGTGCGTGGAGAAAAAAAAAGTGAGCGGGAGTGAAAAAAAAAAGAAACTAGCGCTAGCACGATTTGGCTGTTGGCAGCGTCTGTGCTGCCAGCGCGTTCGCGCTAATTAGCGTTTCTGAACTTTAGGTCTCTTCCACTCGAGAAAACTGCTTTCGTTTTAGTTGTTTGCTTCAAAATTTTCTTGAGTACGCACATTAAGGACCTGTTTGATTCAGTTTAGAATTATTATAATCTATTATTAGAAGTAAGCTGAAAGAATCAGATAACTTATTACGATAGATCTCTAATCGAGACGTGCTTCTATGCTCCTCCAGAAAAAAAACTAGCACGAAAATTAAAGCGCATCAGTGGTTGAGATTAAATGTGGATTAACAGACTAATTGTCATTAGTGGGGGCATTTTCGTCCATGGAAAATTGAGCCCACATCCAGCCCATCCCACCTCAAGCTACGCCGCGCGGCTCCCCCCGCGAACAGTAGCGCCGGCCCGGTGACCCTTCTGTAGCGTCGACCAGTGATTGACTGGATGACTACCGGAGACGTACGCCGGACACAAAAACACCAGCTTCTGTATCATTGGCTTCTCCCAGGAAGAACACACCAACCAAACCCTGCATCTACATATGACAATACAACAGAAGAACCGAGCTATTAGTCTGGAGAGAGATCTATGCATACACAACGAACAGACCAACAGGAGGCTTAAAGCTACTAATCCACTAGTGTCCGTCGGCGCAGTTGATTGCAGAATATCTAAAATCCCATCTGCATGGCAGCGGCGGCTATTAAGCTAAGCGGTGGTGTTAATTTGATGACACTAGAACAGATACCCTCATCTCAATCGGACGGTAAGCCCCATCTCAATCGGGCACAACGTCCGTCACAGGCTAGAAATCACTGATGTGTAGAGTTATCTCAATCGGGCAAACGGCCATCACGGATGAATCTATCTCAATCGGGCCCTAAGTAAAGCCCGTCACCGATAGCTTTGACCCAGACGACCTGTCAAACTATAGCCCGTCACAGATGACCTATCTCAATCGGGCCACAACTAGCGCCCATCACACATGACTACTAACCTTTATCGGGCCTAAACTAGAGCACGTCACAGATGATACTCATCTCAATCGGGCCTAAACTAGAGCTCGTCACAGATGACCATCATCTCAATCGGGTATTTAGTTATGGCCCGTCAATCGGGTATTTAGTTATGGCCCGTCATTGATGACTATAATTCACAAAAAAAATAAATTTTGTTTTTTGGCTAGCCTCAGACCTTTGCTAGCCATGCCTGCTGCAAAAATGACAGAAACAAATACAAATATCCAATATCCCCAGCTCCCCAGCATCACCCATTCATATACATATGCATTAACATACACAGACATCAATATATTTCACACAACCACACATTCACAGTCATCTCATATTTCACATCCATTCACATATTTCACATCCATTCAAATATTTATCATATTTCACCTGCAAAACCGAGTTAATTGGATCAAATATTTATTTAGCAAGTCTTAACATAAACATATGAAATATATATATAAATATAAGCATCATAGTTACATCATCACAGTTGCATAATAAGTGTTCATCATTGCCTAAACATAAAAGTTCAACATTGTTCATCATTTTAGTTTAATCCTAAACATTCCTTTGGGGTTAATTATTTCACGGAGGATGAAGCTGGCTATCTCCTTGCGAACCTCCTCAAAGCTGGTAGGCAGAGACTTGGTTATTATGCCCTACATTGTCATAATTCCAGATTAGTTGATCAATCATATATAAGTACTAAAATGTAGTTAGTCTATCACAATTGAGACCACCGACCTCAAACTCAGCCAAAGTCTTCACCTTTTCTCTGTACAGAAGGCGCATGTTGTGGCACACATGGAATCCGCACTGGTCACCTATTTGTTGCTTCACCGGGAAGACTTTTTTGTGGATGAGGGTGTCATGTCCTGTCTTCCTGAGGCCTCCTCTTTGCACGTATTGGGCCCACGCTTCATCTATCGCTAGTTGAATTGGGGTCGAATCATATGCGTTCTTATCAATTCTGGAGTTCAGGTAGTGACATGAACTCCACTTAGGTGTTATGACCAGAAGGATCCAATGGGCACTGCAGCATTAATATAGTGAAAGTTAATTAAGTACTGAAGGAATGTGTCATGCTGTTGTGTATATTTAGATAACATACTTACTATTGATTATAGGCGCACATAATGTACTCCTTGTCTCGGCGGGACCACAAGGTGTCGTACGGTCATTCTGGAGATTTGTGACAATGACCACTTGTGGATCAAGGAAGGCAACTTCCGGTGCATTCTTCTGACACCATTGCCAACTTAACCTACACACAGGATAAACGATCTTGTAAGCGAGTTAATCCGATTGTTATTACCAGATTGAGT